TGGGCAACAAAAGATCATTCTGATTTGCTGCACTGTTCCCAAGGGAGTGGCCCCACCGCCCTCCATGGAGGGGTGTCTCAGCTTCCTGGGGAGGCATGTCTGAGGGGAAGGTGGGCCAGCTGGGCTGCGGCAGGGTGCCACTGACAGGAGCACCCAGAGCACCTGGGCTTCAGACACCATTCGGACAGGTGGCTTTGGCCAGTGGCCGGGACAAGGACCCTGGGACCAGCTTCGCACGAGGCCTGACAGGAGCCCCTACCTCGGCACCTGCACAAGAGCAGGAGCAACTTCCGCTCCTGTTCATGGGAGGGCCAGCCCCCGCTGGCCCGGCAAGTTAAGTGCTGGGCCGGCAATGGCAGGGCTGGCTGGCTGCTCCCGTGAGATCGGCCGCCGCAGGAAGCCCGTGGGCAGTGCTGTGCAGAATGGCCTCAACAGGAGGGGTAAAATGGATGGAGTAGGTCACAAGAGGCCCAGCCCCACTCACCCCTGCATTTGGGGAGCACTGCACCCCTCCTCTGGCACTGAGGACCAGGAACTCTAGAGGTGTGGGGGAGGCCCTTACTGAGACTGGCCCTGCCCCCGCACCACCCTGTAGGGTCCGAAAGCAAGGCCTGGAGGCCACGCCCAGTCCCAGCCACAGAGGCCATCTGGAGCCGGGCCTTGGCCCAAACACCAGCAACAAGAACGTACCCAGAGCTCTGAACAAAGGGAGCCAGCACGACCCGGCCAGCTGGGGAGGGGGCAGTCCTGGGACCTCCTCCAGGCCTGACAATCACACTGTCCCCACACCAGGGCACTCCCCGCCCGAGCCTCCTTGGATTGCACAGGAGCGGGGCTGCTAGACCAGGAGGCCGCGGCAGACATCTCACAACAACACGACAGGCCTCGCCACCCCCTTCTTACAGAAGAGGAGGCCACGCCAGAGGAGGCCACGCTGCTCGCTCCAGGGCCTGCAGCAAGGGCGAGCCAGCCCAGCTCCCCAACCAAGGTCAAACCTGAGACCTCACTTGGGGCTGCTAAGTCGAAAATCGACTCGATGGTGCTGATCAGAAAGCACAGCTGACAAAGAGGATCAACAGGGAGGTCCCAGCATAGGCACCAGGGACACTGACTAACTTTGGGCCGCCCTATCCCTCCCTGGAGCTCAGTTTCCCTTCCATGGGAGGAGGAGCTACCGAGACTGGACGCTGTCTGAGAACAGGTGTGCGTCTGTGCCACACACTTGCCCCAAGTCCTGACCCTCTGCCAGCTGTCCAAGCTCCAGTGCTGAGCCCAAGGGTCTCAGATGGACCCAAAACACCAGACTTCCTGCCACCGAATCCATTCTAACTCAGGCCAACCCTATAGGACCGTATAGAACTGCCCCTGTGGGTTTCCGGGGCTGTAAAACTCTTTACGGCGCAGAAAGCCTCATCTTTCTCTCCACAGAGTGGCCGGTGTTTTCAAACTGTGAACCTTGCAGTTAGCAGCCCAATAAGTAGGCACTGTGCCACCAGGACCCCTTCTCAAAAACAAGGCAGGTCTTCATAAGTAGGCGCCCTGGGGCTGCGGGGGTTGGGCTGCTTCAGCTGCATGGCCCAAACTCACCGGCCTCCTCGGGAGAAAGAGGAGGCTTTGTACTCCCATCAAGATGTATAGCCTCGGAACCCCCAGAGGGGGCAGCTGTGCCCTGTGCTATAAGGCGGACACGAGTTGGAAACAGGCAGTGAGAGGGTCAAGGGTGGCTGTGGGTGGGAACAGACCCAAAGACAACGGGTGACAGCCACATGGCCCATTTCCCAAAGTGTCAGGAGAGGAGAGGTGGCATGGGACAGAGCGATGCTTCCTTCTGCGATACGTAAGGTCCCCTTGCGTCCCAGCCAACGGGGCTACAATGAACAACGGACAACGTAACGAGGAGACAGAGACCATACCCCCACACACCCTATAGCCAAGGTACCTCCCACATACCTCTCTGTGTGCTGTAAATACACCCGGGTATACAGTGGGGCAAGCAGAGGTCAAAGTGATGAAAACATCTTAGTTATCATCAAGCACCCTGAAGGAAGGCCGTAGCCACTAGGCTTGGGGAAGTCGGGGGAAGTTCACCAAGACAGCATTCTACTTCTGACTGCAGCGAGTTGTGACTAGGGGCAGGGGAGGTGTCTTAAAAGTTAGCAAGTGGACATCTAACAGACAGCTATTAGTCTCCCTCCATCCACAGGGCAGATGAGGGACCGAAAGCCAAAGACTGGAAGCCACAGTGAGACCAAAGGCCTAAGGGAACATGCACACCCACAGCCGGAGAGCAGAAGCACCAGACGGTGCCCGGCTACCATGCTCTGATCCTGACCCCCCCCCCCCCCCCACCCCCCACCCCCGAAGGTCCTGGGCAGAATGGGAGACAGACGTGGTAGACAATTCACCAGACGTATGAGTCTGCTAGAGACTGGTGGAACCCCAGAACGAGACGGGCCAAGAACCATACCGTGCTCCTCAAAACCACCAACCAAGAGCTCCGGGCAGTACTTGCCCCAGAACCAAGTTGGGAAGGCAGGAAGGAGCGGGAAAGAATGAGGCACAGCAGGAAGCGTGCCGGTACAGAGGGGACAACACGAGGTGGGAGGTCAACTGCTGAGGGGGCAAACAATTTGCTCTGTAAACTTCCACCCAAGCGCTGGAGACACACACAGATAGACCTGCAGACAGGGAGAGAAGGTAGCGCCTCCTGGGTTACAAGGGCTAGAGCAGGGACCTGCCCCATCCCATGGCCTCTCTCCCAGGAGGGGGGTGGGGGGCCACTGCAACACCTCTGCAGGCTGCAGATCCCAAGCCAGCTACAGTCCCTCATGTAGAAGCCTTCATGGGCACCAGGGGCTGAGCGAGGGGGCCTAGGACCAACTACGGCCCCACTGTGTTCGCAGCCTCTGGGAGTGCTCAACGCAGAGGGTGACCGACTGAAGTTCTCAGAAAGAGACTGCACCCCTGCTTGTGGACAGCCAGACCCTGCCATCACACCAACTTTCCAGATGGGGACGCTGAGGCACAGGGCAGCCACACAGAGGCAGCCCAGACCCCTGAGGGGTCTGTCAGCCATCTCTGTCCCTGCCCCATCATTTACACACTCACCCGTGCCGGGCTGTGAGATCTACACTGGTTTTCTGAGGTTTGGGCAGTGTGACCTTGGGCCACCAACTTGACCTTGCTGGCCCTTAGTTTCCAGGCTAACACAGCACCACCTCTGGGGTGAGGGGGCCCCAAGTAAGTGCTCAGAGCATGCTTGTCCCATTCCTTCCTCCTCTGATTGGTGGAGGGAAATGGGGGTGGGGGACAGGAGGTGGGGAGTGGGTTGTGGCAGCACAGGGCCGATCACAAACAGGCTTCGCATTCTCCTGAGCAAGGCCCCTGAGCCCTCAGTGAGAGAAATGGCCCAATGACAGAGCCCACGACCAGGGCACCCTGACATGTTGGCTTTCTCTGCCCAGGACAGAACTGACTTATTTTCATCTTCCAAGAAGGGAGACTTAGAGAGGAGAGCCTCTTGACTGTCCCCAAGGGTACAAAGACAGAGCCGAGGATAAAGCCCAGGAGGTTTGCCAACTTGCCCTGACTATACCAAGCCCTGGCCCATCGAGCCCCTACGTGGGCAGAGCCCAGCAGCTCCCGAGGGGTCTGCAGGGCAGGGACCTGTCTTCCCAGGCAATCCCTTCCCACCAACCTTCGGTTAGTGTCTGAACCACTGAGAACCACCACTGCTGGGGAGGCTGGGCGGGTGAGTGGAGCCCCAAGACACAAACCTCACTTCTTCCAGGGTCGGGGAGAGAGGCCGAGACATCAGTGAAATGTTAAAAACTGACATCAGAAAGGACTCGGAATTTCAACAGGAAGGCACATCCCATCTGGAAAGATGGGGGGCGGGGGCGGGGTGCCCCAAAGGGATGAGCAGCTGCCCACAAGGTTCCTGAGAAAGAAGCCTGTGCCATTCCAAAGCCTGGGCAGGCTGAATTCCAGGGGGCCTGAGCCCAGGGAGAGGCTGGGCTGGAGGGCAGCTGGGTAGCCCTTCTCCCTTCTCCAGGAGGAAGGGATGAGGATGCTAACTGAGCAGGGCTTTCCCACGCCCCGCTGAAGACCTGTAGCTGGAGAGTAGAGCTAAAAATACCCTCCTCCCCAGCCGGGCCCACAGCAAATGGGAGTCCCCTGCCTGCCCAGCCCATAAGAGCAGCCCTTCCGCCGGCCGCACCCAAGCCTGCTACTAGCCCACCAATTGGCAGATGGCTCTGGGGACAAGCTGCCCCAAACAGGCCACCAGCACTGAGGAGCGCCAAGTCCCTGAGATCAAAGATAGTGGGAGAGAGGGCGGGGCGGGGGGAGAGCTGATACCAAGGGCTCAGATAGAAAATGTTTTGGAAGCGATGATGCCAACCTACGTACACATGTGCTTGATACAATGGATGTATGGGTTGTGATAAGAGTTGGAAGAGTCCCCCATAAAATGATGTATTAAAAAAAATGATCATGGGACCTGGGATCCTCCCTCCTTGCTGTCCCTGCAGGCGCCAGGAGCACTTACCCAGGTAGATGTCGCCGAAGGAGCCACTCCCAATCTTCCGGCCCAGGCGGTACTTGTTCCCCACACGGAGCTCCATGGTTCACTGGCTGCGGAGGGAATCGGACACTGGGGTCAGAGATGTGGGTGCTGGGAAGGCCAGGTAGAGCCCCAGGGATCCTGTCCCCTCACTCCCACTGTGTGTGGCCTTGCTGAGCATGCGGACAATAGCCATCAGAACTCCAGGGTGACATCAGAGTGGAATTGGGGACAAGGCACAAGAGGAAACAACCAAGCATCTCCTGGGGTTGGGGTGTGTGTATGGGGGGTGAGTGATCACCTAGGGAACCCCAGCCCCCCAAGAGAAGCCTCTCAAAGGAGAAGTCAACCCCAAAGGGCAAGAGACTGCGAGTAAATTGACGACAAAAGGGAATGATGATTTGAGGGAGGTGTGTGCCTGTGTGTGCATGAGCTGACCAGCCTGCAGGTGTTGTCATGGCAACCACAAACAAGCACCAACCTCTGGGGCAGGAGAAGCGGGCAAGCTGAAGGGAAGGGTCCCAGAGAGGCTCCCCAGAGTCAGCAGACCCCCACAGCCCAGTTACCTGCCCCACTCACCCCACCTCAGGCCTCTCACCAAGACCTCTACCATCTGGCCTGGTCTTCCCAAGCACCCCATCAAGCCCAGGCCAGCTGTGTCCTGTAGGGGAGAGGGCTCATGTCTCCCACCCAGGGGACAGGCGGGAAAGTGTCACCAAGCACAGCCACACCTTAGCTCCTCTCTCCCCTACCTCAAGGTGGGCTGCTCAGGAGTTGGCTGGCTTCCTTTAAGACCAGCAGAGAGGGGAGAGGGGAGAGGGCTGGGACAAGGTGCCGAGTGGAGCAGCTTCCCTCCTTGTGGGGATCTACCAGGGTACCCCAAGCCCCTTGATAAAGGGCCCTCTTGCAGGGCCTCAGGTTAAGGAGAGCCAGCAAGGGGGATGGGGGATGGGAGTGTTTACCAGGAGGCTGGCGGAGTAACCTATCAAAGAAGGGACTCCTTCTGCACTTAGGGTGCTGGAAGTGCAGCAAGGTCAGGTTACCAGCACACATACCCCAGCAGCCAGGCAGGGGCAAAGCACCCCCATGAACCCAGACAGGGCTCCTGCAGCCCCACCTGCCTGCCTCCTAGGTGGAAGGGCAGCTGTGCCAGGCATGCAGCACCTGCCCCTTTCCCAGCCAAGCCAGGCCAATCTGGGAAGGGGGCAGGGGCTCAGGCCTGAGTCCAGGGGCCCACAACTGGGGCCCAGGCCCTGGCTTACAGGGAGCACCACAGGCCTGCACCACCAGCCAAGAGGAAGGAGCTTTCACCGGCCCCAGCCAAGGGCCGGCTCTCCCTCAAGGGCCTCTGCCCACGCGCCTGGCCGGCCCCTGCCCAGAAGCCACGGCTGGCAACACACACACTCCACGTCCACACGCCGGCCTGCTGCCCGAGTGCGTACACTCCGAGGGAAGAAAGGAAAGTGGGGGCCCGGGTGTGTACACAGGGCAGCGGGCTCCCAACGCCAATTCAGAGACCACACACGGTCGCCCGGAAAGCCGCAGGTTAGGAACGGAACATAAAGATCCACACGGGGTTATATAAATCCCTGTGCCCTTGGCAGGGTGTCTTACATAAATACACAACACAGGGCCCCTGGCCCCTCTCCTCACCCCTGACTGTCAGCAGGGAAGGGAGGTGGGGACCACCACTGCTCTGGGCTAGCCACTCAGACGCACCAAGGTCTATTCCCTGGCTAAGGGGCCAGGGACCATAGACTCCTGCGGCGGCCACTGTCCCCCAAAAGCTCCCTGCAAGAAGAAAGGCCTGATTCCGGGACGAGGGGGTCTGGGGGCCTTTCCAGTTCTTTGGTGGATTCTCCCACTGGGAGGAAGCACTGGGGGGAAGTAGAGGAAATAAAGGCAGGCATGAAGATTGATGGACGAAATTAGACCAACTGGCGGCCGGCAGCTGGGCAGGGTTTTTTTTGTGTATTTTCACTCCTGGTTCCCGTCGGAATTACCATTCTTGTCACTGGACTCTTAAGATAAAAAGTAGAGTCTGCCCGGCCACCAAGGCCAAAGGAGCCGCAACGGTTAGCACTGACCAGAAGCAACTTGCACCTTCTGTACCCTCCGCCCCCTCCAACCCGCCCACCAAATCGGGGTCTCACCCAGGGAAGCTAGGCCAAACCAAAAATTTGGGAGGAAACTAAAGGAAAGTTGAGGAGGGGGCTCACTCACTTGGAGTTTGGGATGTTGGGAGAGGCTTAGGCATCCTTCCTCTGGGGACACCCCCAGCAGAAACACAGTTTGGGGTTCCTGGGAGACTTGTAAGCCACCCGGGCTCACAGACAGAAATGAGCGCCCCTGGGCTGTGGAATATCCCCAGCTCTTTCTTTCCACAAAGGAAAAGAGATTCGGAGGCCTGGGTGACTGGCACGCCCTGTCTCCCGCCCCCAGACAACCCCATCCAACAAACGGAAGCGGCAAGTGGCTTGGCTGACCCTCAGGTTTGGGGCATCGGGGCCACGAGAGAAGGGAGATGGGGGCTGCAGCCGACTGTCCATTGGAGCACACACGAGCCCGCGGGTGTGGGCGAGAAGGCAAAATCAACAGTGTCTTGTACAACCAGCACCCTCGCACGGCACCCTCACCTTGGTGTCTCCAAATTGCAGCCCGCATTGGCCACCCCGGCAGACTGGCCCTAGAAGGGTCTGGCTGAAGGAAGAGGAGGCGGGCCGGACTCAAGGG